CAGGAAAGGGAAACAAGACATAAAAGCATGATAAATAAAAAACAAAATAATGCGAGTTAGATCAATACAAATATGTCACTAATCACAATAAATGTTAAGTAAGATAAGATCTTCTTTGATTTTCAGATTGGATTAAAAAGAAGCCTGTCTCTATGCTAGAGGTACAGTAACCCAAAATGATCCAGAATAGTTGAAAATAAAGAGGTGGAAAAAGACATACAACACAAAAACACAAATACCAACCAAAGAGAAAGTGATCTTGCATTGTTAGTATCAGATAAAATCAACTTTGAGGCAAAAGGCATTATTGGAGATTAAGATAAGGAATTAAGTTATTAATGATAAAGGAGTAATTTAAATTCTGTGTTTTCCACTGGATTAGACTTTGAAACAATGTTATTCACAACCTAGTCCATTGAATTTACTGCTCACTATTGTGGTACAACCCACCATTTAAAAAGTGCTGCTCTAGAACACACTTTTATCTTCCCTGAAAGCCCCAAGTAACCCCTAAGAGGCGAACTGTCATACTGCAGATGAGTGTCTGCAATGCCTCTATGACACCAGGAAATACATGTTATCTACAGGTTTTTATAATTAGTTCCTAAAGGCAGTAAGGATCACTCATAACCACCAGAACAAGAAACCAACTTTCCTTGTGCCAAAGGTCTGAAAAGAAATCACAAAGCTTGCTTACAGAGAGAAAATTGAATTCATGAGAGAGCTGGGAACTCTGAATATTTCATTAGGTAATTGAAAGAGGTTTTGCAGGCATATATTCCCTTTATGTTGAGATCTGCTTTTCTTGAGTATAAAATCCTTCAGTATAATCATTGTTATGTCAAGTCATAGCAAAGATGTGGGAAGGTCCTTTTCGGGGGCACTGAGCTGGAGGCTCACTCTGGTGAGCCCTCCCGAAGGGCTGTCCACTGTGTTGCTTCTCCAGCATCTTGCTCCTCCAAGGCAGTTAGAAAAACTCCAGGGAACCATCCACAGAGGAGAGCTGATGCGATGTTTCTTTCTGTTTTGCCAAGAAGCAGGGAAAACAACTGCAAGCTAAGAGGAGTTCAAAGTATGAAGAATTTCAGAGTTTCAGGCAGCAGCCTCTCTTTCCTTCCCTGCCCACAGTCACCACCTCACATCCTGATACTTCTCTACCAGCTGACCAACGCCTAAAGTCACACAGTTCTACAACCATTTATGTATTCAATAATTTGTAACCCCTTGGGAGGAAGCGTCACTTACAATTGTATGAATCCCTGGCTCTTCATCCAGTTGGCTCTGGGTCCTACCAGCAGTGGTAAAATGCAGCCTCAGAGCTGAATTCAGATTAGTCTCATCATTTTTTTTTTAGAGTTCATTAAAAAACTTTAATGTAAGGCACTGTTGTCCAAAGTTAAATGAGGGATAACACAGCCCACACGATGCTACCTCACTCTCCCTCTTATTCTCATCATTTTTATTTAAAGAATTGCTAACACAGTGAGAGCTTCCTATGTGCCAGATGATGTATCATCTTGTTTACCCATCCAGTGAAGGAAGTATTTGTATTATCCCCATTTCACAGATGAGGAAATCAAGGCTCAGAGGGCTCAAGTAACTTGCTTAAGGTTCCTCAGCTGGTAAATTGCAGATTTGAGATTTAACTCCAGGCTTTCTGGTCCAGAGTTGGCTTTCTTAACCAAAATGGTACCCTGTTTTGGCTTTCATTGGAGTTACATATAATTAGGAGAATTTGGTTCATGGGCACTTTGTAAAAAATTCACATCCACGTAGTAGTTTCTTCCTTGTCTTAACCCCAAAGTCAAATATACAATAATGTGTATAGTACTCTGTGTATCTTGTCTTAGAAGAGCAGATGGAGTCCAGGTTATTTAAAGAAGTAAAAGAAGAAAGCCATTCATAACAGAGCCTTTGTTTTAAAAGCAATGAAGTCTATGGAAAGCCAAAACCATTAAACTTTGGTTGTGCATTAAACATTACACTGCACTCTGTGGTATTTGCTGATTGGCACAACCACTGCCATTTAAACTGATGCCCTAATCATGACAAGAATGACCAGGATTACCCCAGTTCAATGGGTGCATGCTCTTCCCAGGGCTCACAAAAGCCTTCCTTAGGGATCCAGGCTTCCCTGGTAATGACAAGTTAACTCACAAGGCTACTGTGAGTAAATAGCAGTCCTCATTTTGAAATGAAGGAAATCAAGGAAAAGATGAAGGATCTCTGGCCAAGCAGAGGAAAATCACTCAAACTGATCAGCAGAACCCTGAGAACAATCGCAGGCTTCCAGAATGATGGGGAAATGGGTGTTTCTGTTTGTTGAATATTTGGGCAATTGAGAGTTCAAGGGATTGTAGGAAAAATTCATTATTTTTCTCTCAGCAGTCTGTTACTTAAAATTTAAACACTTGTGTTTCTACAATATATGGTTATTATAAACATCCCAAACAATCCAATCCAGAAATTTCACTTTTAAGCCCTTCCTCCCTCTCCAGTGCCACTTCCTCCCTAGAGGAACCCACACTCCCTGTGTATCCTTCCGAACTTTTAAGAACAACTATTATAAAGGAAGAATTTGACTATAAGAAAACCTTGCTGATTATAATTGGTGTTGACCTCTCTATAGTGATTGATTCAGAAGATCCTTTGGCTTTGTCATTAATACAAGTATCAGTTGTCACAGTGCAGAAATGTGGGAATTTCTGGGAGCTTGGATCCTGATAAACAGAAGCTCATGAGAAAGCTGTGGATAATCCCCTTTTCAGCCCCCAGGGCAGCTTGGGTTTGCTCAGAGCTCAGCGGATAACCCTCCTACCCAGAAGAGAGAGATGTGGAAGGTGCCTAATCCTATGAACATAAGAATTTAGGCAACACTGTAAAGACATCGGTTTGTAATTTAAAAGATTTTGGGGGTTATCTTATGTTCTATGACACCAATATAGGGCTGCTTTTATTCTAAAATTTGCATGGCTATATATTTATATTCATTTACAGTACTTTATATATATGTATAATTTTTAAAAATACATTTAAAGATAAGTTGTGTATTTTCTTTTTCTTCAGGCAAGAGTAGCTTCCATGTATAAATTCAACAGGAAACAGTCTTCTTTAGAAAAAAAAAAGTCACTTGAGTAGTTTTCTTAAGACAAGCAGAGCAGCCCATGCCCTGGGAAAGGAAGTAATAGGAAAGACTTTATTTTTCTTGAGTTTGATAAAGCCATCTCTCTAAATACCTCATGGTGAGTAGGGCTTTGGTGTGCATTGAATCAGTTTGCAGAATGAACCCAGGAATTTTCTGGAAGGGAAGGAGTTGTGATTACCCCCATTTCTCTCCAAGGTTTCTAGTTATAAAAACCCATGAGAGGACTCTTCTAGAGGATACAGGACTCTTTGGAAACTAATCCAAGAAGGTAAAAAAGTTAAAGGATGTCCATGATTGCAAGTTTGTCAAGACTGGGCTCCCCATCACTTCAATATGGATATTCCTGCTTGGAAACTAAAAAAACAAAGTGCTTTCATATTCTGGTGGTGGGTCTGGATCTAAAGAACTTTTGCTGCTTGGTCTTTTGTTTCAGATTCCACAAAGGCAAATCTCTTGGGATGTCCAGTAGCCTTATATGGTATACTCATCTAAACAACTTGCTGCATTTTCCAAATACCTTTTCAGTTCAGCTTTGGTGGGGCTATAAGGTGGTTGCAAGTGAAACCTGACTCAGTTTAGCCTCCTGGGCGACTGTGTGTCCTGGTGCGTAGTTGTGTGGGTGACTCTAAATAGTGGAAACTCAAAGAACTGCAGTGATCACAGTAGGAAGCCTGGATCCCAAAGACCAGAGGAGGAAGCCTCAAGATCCAGTGATGGTCTGAAAAAGCAGGAGGGTTAGCCCTGGCTTCATGGCCTGACCTTGATGAGCAGAACTAGAACACCGTACACTCCACCCACCTTCTCTCCATGACTAACTCTAGTTCATCTTTCAAAACTCAGCCCAAAGGTCAACTCCTCCATCAAGTGTTTCCTGACCACTCCAGGCTGAGTTCAGTGCTCCCTTTGTGTTCCCTTGTACTCACCTATATCCTCACTTTTAACCACACTGTAGTGACCTTACTCCTGTATTCACTGTGTCTCCTACTAGACTTTGAGTCCCTCAGCACAGCTGGAACATGTTTGAATCCCAGCTCCACTATTTCCCAGCTCTGCAAGTCAGCAAGCTGCTGAAACTCAGTTTTCTCATCTGTAAAATGGGGATAATCACTCCTACCTTATTGGGTTATTTTGGTGGTTAAAATTTGTAAAACACTTAAACAATGCCTGGGACATAAGTGCTTAAAATTATTAGCTATAGTAATACTATAAAATAAAAATAATTAAAATTGTCATTAATAATTTCTTTATTTCCAGTGTCTAGCACAAAGCCCAGTATGCAGTAGGCACTTAATCATCAGTGTTAAATGAAACTATGATTATCTAGAACTGTGCTATCCAGTACAGTAGCCATCAGTTTATGTGGCTTTTGAGCACTTGAAATGTGTCTAGTTTAAAACTGAGATGTGCCCTATGTGTAAAATACACACCGGATGTTGAAGACTTAGTATGGAAAACAGAAAGTAAAATATCTCATAAATAATCTTAATGGTAATATTCTGGATCCTTTAGGTTAAATAAAATAGAGTCTTAAAAATAATCTTATCAGCTTATTTTTACTTTTTAAAATGAGACTGTAATGAAAGTTAAAATTACACATGTGGCTACATTAGATTTCTGTTGGGTAGCACAGATCTAGAATGTTCTCATCCTATCCGTAGTATAGCAAATTATCACATCCTCCTCTATGCTCAAATAGTACATAAACTTTAGGAATATAGACAATTAATTTAGAGCAATGATTCATTTAGAATCAAAAGTACAACCAATTGGTTTCTGAAGGATTTTCCTTGTAGGGTTAACAACCTAATGCAAAAAGTATGTAAAAAAGGAACTAAAGCTTTGGGGAATTTTCCAGGTTCGGTGTGATCCTGAGATTCAAGAATTGCGTCAGTGGCAGAAGAAACTGCACGAGGAAAAGCATATTCGCCAGAGAGTCAAAATTTTCTGGGCCAAACAAGAGCAGAAAGGTCAGTGGCTTGAGTCACAGTCCTCAGTTTGTTCAGGAAAAGCTAAAATCTTGTCCTAGGCTCAAGAAGGATGCCCTCTGAGCTTTTATAGGGTCCTTGTGTCTGCAAGGAACTCGATTTGTGTACAGAAGTGGCTGCTTATTGAGATTCTGCTCTGGAATGACAGAGGTAATGTGATGTAATTTTCATGGCCATTCCCCTCACTCAGGGACAAATTGAGTGTCATCCTGTGTCTGCAGGTCTCTTTTTGTTTAAGCTCCAAGACAAGAATAACCCATCATTTTGGAAACACGGTGTCTAGCAATGTGATGGGTAGTTATTCTTTGAAGTTGTTGATTATGAGTCTAAACTTAAATGGTGTCTTACACTCACCCTCTCTCCTTTTGTGAGAAATTAACACACACACCCTAAAGCACAAAGAATCACATAACAAGTACCTATCACCTGTCGTAGTCAAGTATCACCAATTTGTCCTATTTTCTTTCCTCCTTTTTTATTTTTAAACTTTAAGTTACTACCTATTAATCGTAGGAAAATTAGAAGAACAGTAGCCAAAAAGGGAAACATCCCACCACTATTAATATTTTGGTACACTTCCTGCTATACTTTCTCAAGTACAAAAATATGCAAATAAACATATATTCACAGTTTCTTAAAAGTGGGATGTTACTTTCTGTCACATGTATGTCTCTACATTCTGTTATGTAATCTACCTTGTCACTGGACATACAATGTCATTCCAGCCAACAACTAGAGAGTGGCACTGTGATGTTTAATGGCTGTGTGGGGACCCTCATTCCAACCACTGAGGGTTCTTTGGATAAATGGCTGAGTCCACGGCTGGGGTAGGCAAAGTAGAAGATGAACCTAGAACATCTTATGCCAGAAAATAAGGCTCAAAAAAATGTGGGGACCTGGGAAAGAATCCAGGCTCCAGCTTGAGGGGAGTCACCCTGAGCAAATCTGAGACGATTTAAGCCTCAAAATTAACAGTGACAGAAATGAATTATAACTCACTGACTAAAATACAAATCAAAATGTCCATATGGATACAAAGTAAGTTAAAGGAAGAAGCAAACAAACAGCAAAGAGGAGGAAGCTTTTCTTTCCACTAGAATGCCAACTAATATGCTGAAAGGTGTAAAGAAATTAAAGAGTCACCATTTTGTAACTATATTAGTGACTAATTGACTCAGGCAAGAACCATCAGTAGTTGCTTAACCATTGAAAGCTTGGTGATATTTAGAGTCTCAAAATAGTCATTAGCATAAAGGGAAGGGGAAATAACAACTGTGCATTAGAGAAGCCTGGCAGACCCTGGCACACCCACCTTAACCAAGTGTTCAAAATTAATCTCACCAATAATGGGACAAACTGACATCATGTGCCTCCTGGTAGGAGATCCTGAGAGGGACACACATCACATCTGCTAGTGCACTATTCCTGTCAAAACATATAACCTGAATCTAATTGTGAGGAAACATCAGACGCACCCAAATTGCAGGACGTGTTCCAAAATAAACGATTTGGACGCTTAAAAAATGTCCATGTCAAGAAAGAGCAAGATTAAAGGAAAACAGAGACATGATTGCTAAATACAGTTCATCACCTTAGATTGGATCCTGGATGGGAAAAAATTCTATGAAAGGCAATACTGAGACATTTAGCAAACTATGAATATGGGCTTTATAATAGATAATAGTACATGGCACGATTAAATATCCTGATTTTGATCAAAGTTTTGGGGCTATACAGAAAACCTACTCATTCTTAAGATACCTGCTGTGTCGGCCCCTCCCTGCCTCTGACCCACAGACAAGGGAGGAGACGCGATGAGATATCGAAGATCTGAAAGGACCAGCCAGGGGACTGGAGGCTTAACAGTGCAAGAGTAGTGCCGAAAAGGCACTTCTCATATTTATTGAGCAAATGAACTTAAAATGAACTTAAACATCATTATCTGGCCTTGAGTCTAGTCCAAGGATGTGATGCTCCTCAAGGATACTGAAACCATGTAAGGGTGGTCACGAGTTGTAGGAAAAACAATCAAGTTATGTGTATTTGTACATTTGATTTCTATATTACTTGATTTATGTATTAGTCCCATTCATCCCACACTGCTGAAAGTTTTAAGGATCAAGGGATATGATAAGAGGCTTAAGCTCAAACGACTCAGAAAAAAATAATGTGGAACACTCATGCACACAGATGTATACACACAGAATATGATGAAATAAATATGGCAAATGATAAATAGCTGGTGAATCTGAGAGTTCTTTGGATGATTATTGCAATTTTCTGTAAGTTCAAAATTATAAGCTAAAAAAAACAACAGTGCCTCACCTCCAGAGTATCTGACTTGATGGTTTGGGGATGGGCCCCAAGCACACCCGTGTTAATGTCAAGTTTCCCCAGTTGTAACAGTCAGCCAGAGTGGAGACCCTAAAGAGATGCCGGATCCTGGGTTGTTTTGTGCTGACCTTAAAACATGGAGTTCTCTAGACCTGCATGTCCTGAGCTCTGGACAAGAGAAGTCCTGCTGACGTGTGATCACACTCCTTTTATTTACTGTTCTAAGTCTTCCCCACTAGAGTGTAAGCTCCATGAGGAGAAAAACCTCGTCCTATACAGTGCCTACTGCAGAGTGAGCAGGAGATAAAATACTGGTTGTATGAGTGAGTGAGTGAACGAACGAATGGATGGATGGATGGATGGATGGATGGATGGATGGATGGATGGATGGATGGGTGAATGGATGGGTTCCGAGCTTACATGAGCCAGCGTGTGGACAGTGCTTGGCACAGAGAGGGAGCTCATCAGATTGGCCATTGAGTGTCCCTGGTCAGGAAGCAGCCTGTGCTATAACTGTTTGGCAGGCCCAACACAGGACTCTTTTCTACACACAACTGCTGTTTCATTTTGCTTCAAAATTGGAAGACCATCAAGGCTGTAATCAGTTTAAAGATCAGGGAAAGTGCAGTGTGTCTTTTTATTTCCGTAGTTACTCTTCTGAGTTGACTTAGTGTTGGTTTACTGACTGATTTGGCTTGCCGTGTAGCAGGGAGGGCAGACGGGAGGTAATGCGGGTAATCCAGCCAGTGGCCAAGGGGCAGAGGGGAAGCAGTGCCATCTCTATCACCTGCTGCTCGTGCCCCGTGCTGCCTTTCAAACTACCCATGTGAGTAGGGAGAAAGAAGCCATGGAAGAAAGGCTCCAGAAGGAGCAGTGCTTTCCAAATGAGGGTGGATCTTCAGTAAATGCCCCAATGTGAGCTCATGGGTAAATGTGTCCTTTACCATGAGACTGTAAGGCGGCCTTTGGGTAAAAAAGACAGTTCTACACACTGTCTCAGATCTGTGGTCAGTTAAGAAGGAAGTCAGCACAGTGCAATGGGAGAAGACTGGGTTTTAGAATCAGCCAGACCTGCTCATGGAGCCCTTTCACTTTTATCTGTGTAACCCTGATCTAGGTTAACTTCATTAAACCTCCATTTTCCCATGTACCAAAGGAGAGTAATACTAATTATGTGTCTCATATGGTGGTTGTGTTTAAAGATTATAGGAGATGATCTTTAAAACAAGTCCTGGCACATAGTTGCGCTAAATGTTGGTTATTGTCATGATTAGTATTGTTAAAACATCTGTGGGTCTTTAAATGATTTTGTGTGACTTTCCTGCCGGATCTCCAAGCTGCATGGGGTTCATCTCACTCCTCATGGTGCCCCCATACCTAGGACAGAGACTGGTGCAGAGCATGCAGACTCTGCATATTTGGTGGCTGGAGCTCTGGGCTTCATTCTACAAATGAGTAGCTAGAGGCCCAGGAAGGTCAAACAAGTTGCCCAAGGTCACACAGCCAGTAGAGGGCCTCGTGATGGGGCCCAGGCCTTCCCTTTTTCTGTCCAGTGTTCAGAGGAGAGACACAGACGGACAAGATGCCCTCTTGAATTCTCCCATCAGACCCCACCCTCTCGGGAGTCCTCCTGAACGTGACACACCACATCCTGGGCTTTGGGGTCTTATTCTGTGTGTCAGGGCTGAATTACAAGGAGCTGGATACCAACCTGCTGCCCACCAATGGAAGTAGGACTTTTTGTTCCCCTGAAGTGTCGTTGAGCTAATTAATTTTCTTAAGCTCATGTACTACAGTTACTTCCTGTTTTAAACCTTATGAATCTGGGTAGTGCAGAGATTTAGAAAATAAATCCCCCCAGCCAAAATCATGCTGAATTAGACCCCAAAGAGCTCTGGTGAAGAGGTTTAAAAATGAATGTTAAACACATGCTAGTTCTCCTTTATTTGCAGAAAAGGAAAAAAGTGGATCAACTGCCAATAAAAATGGTTTCTAAACTTCATCTAAAAAAACCCACAAACTCATCTACAAACAAATCCAGCAAACATACTTTCTGAGCGGATACCATTTTGTTTTCTAGTATTTATAGTAATAATAAATGTTGCCAAGTTCACTTCTTGGAGTGACCTTAGTGCAGACAGGAGGTCTGAGGGAGAGCAGTGTCAGCTGTCGGGGCAGAATCCTGGTCATGTATAGCCTGTCTCATGTTACACTGAGTCAGAGGCCGTCACAAACAGGACATTCTTCTAGAATAGAAATGGTGGGAAGTTATCGTCTCTATCCATCGGGGACAGTTGCAGGAATTATTTCTGAATGTGGGTGACAAGAACTGCAGCCAATATAATCCAAAAAGATGCTAAGTCATTTTTGAGATGTCAAAAATCCTTTCTCAATTAATAATATATTTTTAGCTTCATATAGTTGGTAACTGTTTTCAAATGTGTTTCATAATTGAATATTCATATTTTGTTTGGAAATTTGGTGTGAGTAGGGAGAAAGAAGCATGGAAGTTGTCCCATAACATCAGATTACATTTCAAGTATATATGTGTGTGTGTGTGTGTGTGTGTGTGTGTGTGTATACACACACATATATATTATATGCAATATCAAATCACATTTCTCTTATATGCGTGCCTTCTTTTATGT